ATTGGTGCTTTATTCTTAACAGCATCCCTACGCACCTGACGAAGACAGCATAGCACAATTACTCTACCGTGCGTTTACAAATAAATAGTGCATGCATATCATACATGGAACTCCCAAAACCCAGTCTTTAATGCTAATACTGATCAACTGGAGGCTGATTCTGCATTGCCCTTCCTGCAATATAGCCTTTCTGTTGGTTGATGAAGCCTCCCATCATAGGGCAATAGGCCAGTAGTAAGGCACACAAAAAAAGGGGGCATGCCAGGACCTGCCACCACAAAAACATGTCATGTTTTGCATTACAAAGTTCCCATTGTGTCCCGAGTGTCGGGGGCTCTATAGGAGATGGAGGGAGCATTCAGGCTCCTCAAAGTATCTGCTTCTTAGATAACACGGCACTTTGCAGGTTTTCTTCTCCCACGTGTATACCATGAGATGCATTGGTTATTAAGGTTAATAATAATGAAGAAGTGTATTTCTCAAAATTGCAACATAATCAGTTCTAACACACACTCAATGATCTGAATAAAGGCTAGTAATTACATCTAAAATGGATCATACTTAAGTGGTAACACTTTTTTTTATGCTGTGCATATATATATATATTTGAAAGCTCAGGTTGAGTGATGCTTTCTAATACTGACAGAGTGTAATACATCACTCTTAAATAGCAGCTGATTCTTGTATTGGCTTTTGTAATAACAATGCAAAAGTAGGGATTTCTACTAGCCCATGGCTGTCAATCTAATATCAGATTTCAAAACGTTAATCTAGGTTGTCTTATTAAATAAAAGGTGACTATGTATGTAAATGTGTCCTTCTGTGTTTTCTTTTTAAGTCACAATTGTTCTGTCTTTATGCAAGTAATCTTAGTTTAGCTATTTAAAACTTTATTTTCTGCATTATCGTTATTATTTTTTATTCATAAGCTTTTCTTGCTCTCCAGTTTAATCCATTCACATTTAAATACATATGTCTTTTTGTTTTAATTTGCAGAGCTATAAAAGAAGCACGTACTGTAATCGGCACTGCATTCATTGACCCCTTCACTCCCATTGAGGCTACTTAATAGACAGGGTCAAGGAACCTGCAGGCTTTATTCCTCTAATGTCCTTTCTCATCTTTTTTGTGCACTACGAGAAAAGAGAAAATAATCAATCAGAAGATTTTTTTTCTGGCACAGAAAATCTAGGCTTTATAGCTCTGTACTTTACTTTTCTTCATATCATTAAACAATGTTAGCTACACTATTGTCTTTGTAAAGCAGGCAGAACAAAGAGTACTGAAATGCAAATGTGGGTAGAAACCAATCAGATTTCACCTTTTAGAGCGTTAAGGTTTGTAACACCCTGCCAGGGGTTCTAACTGATCACTGGACCACAGATGCGGATCGGGACTTCCCTATCAGGGACGGGTATCAGAGTGTAGCTCTACCTCTTAAGCCCAGTATGGTTTTAAGGCGAGGAGGGAGCTACTAAACATCACGCACCGTTTGCAGCACTTCTACCCTGTGATGGGTAAGTAGGGTAGTTTGGAGTAACACAGCGATAGGTCACCTAGTAATGGCTCATAACAGCTGATGATATCAATTACAGTTCAATAAGCATGAGGTTGTAACAGCTGATAGTAGATCAATGGCAGCCCAATAGGTATGAGGTTGTGACAGCTGATAATAGAATCAATAGCAGTTAAATGGATCAATAGCGGTTCAGTAGGTATGAAGTTGTGACAGCTGATAATAGATCAATGGCAGCCCATTAGGTATGAGGTTGTTGCATCTGATAATAGAATCAATAGCAGTTCAATGGATCTATAGCAGTTCAATAGTTATGGAGTTGTAACAGCTGACTCCAGATCAATAGCAGTTCAATAGGTATGGCCGAAGCCTGTATACTTGCACTTATGATGAGCCTCAGGTTTGGGGGAGCCTTGCTTCTCAGTTGCACTCCAGTTGTTGTGGGTCCTTTGTATGGAGCAAGAGAGGGCTGTTGTTGGTCAGCGTCCTGCTTCCACAATAGTGGGACGCCGATCAAACAGTGGCCCGCGGCTTTATAGCGGCGGCCCGAGAGAGAGGGCGGAGTCCTGCGGCACGCATGCGCAATGATGCCGCCGGACCCCGTCCGAGAGTGGGCGGCGTCGTACGGCGCGCCTGCGCAGTAGCGCGGACGGCGCTCGGACTCGGTCGAGACGGAACCCGAGTTTTACAAGGTTAAATGTACGCAGATACATATTCAAAGCTATATGTGCAAAAGTAGCATATAGGAGATCAGAAAGATAAAACCTTCTACATGCTACTTTAGGGTTTCTTTGAATACTATAAACAGGGTGTTTGTGGTGTATGTGGTTTCATCATGCAGTAGGTCTTGTTCTGACTGCGCTTGTTTCAAGGGTACAATATAGACACAAAAGTAGTGGGCAGGGAGTTTGTTTTTGCTAACCATGTGTCTACACCAGGTTGTTTTCTCAAACTTTTTAACATAGAGGGATCCTTGAAATAACTTTCAGGTCTCAGGGAACCCCTGGTAATTATTTTTGTATCTACGGCTCACAACACATTATTGTGAGAAGAAAGCTAAAAAAAAAAAAACAGCATGTGGCATACTTGGTGCATTTACATACCCAGGGCTGCTTTATTGGACACATTTATTTAAAAAAATAAACAAAAAATATTAATAATCATGCCCAGAAAAGAAATACAAACAATCTAAATTGTCAGATTGGTGGTCAGTGGAGAAATGCCTGCTTTTGTTGATGGTTAGTTGAAATGCACCCCCTTACATTGGTGGTGAGTGAAGTGCCCCTCTTACATTGGTGGGCATAGAAATGCTCTTTTACATAGATGGTCAGTGGAGACAAGCTCCTTTTAGATTGGTGGTCAGTGAGAGAAGGACATCTTTACATTGGTGGTCAGTGGGAATAATGCTCCTCTTACAATGGTGGTCAGTGGAAAGAATGTCCTTCATAGATAACAAAAAAGGTAATTTGTATCAGTGATTACTTGTCTGAGTGTCAGAAATTGTTCATTGCTCAGGGAACCCCTTGGAACCTCTGGGGAATCCTAAGGATCCATGAACTCCTAGTTAGGAAAGACTGTTCAACACTATTAGCATCATGAACAATAACATCAGCATACAGTAGTTTTTTTTTTTTTCTTACCTGTACAAAGATTTTAATGTAGCTGGGAAAGTTAGAGGAACATCAAGGCAACTATATCAGGCAATCCTCCCTCATATCAAATTGCCATATGATGGCAGTAAAAAGAGGTACCTGTGGAAAAAATGTTGAAGCTATACTTACTTTTCCCCTTTCAACCTCCAGGCTACTAGAGTGCTGAGGGTGGCGTCCTTCTTGAGGGATCCTGGATATGATTATGATCCTAAATCTCACACGAAGACACTCCTGCTCTATGCTGGAGTGTCATTTCATGGGATTTGGGATGCGCAGTATTCAGTACTCTCAGGAAGGATTGTGACATCACCCTATCTTTTATGGACATTGGTTGTAAGGTAAATTTGTTTCTTTTCCCCACAGGTGTTTTTTTTTTAAAGCTATCATGCATGATTTGAGATAGTTTGGTGGCCTGATGTGATAAGCTGACCTTGCCTTTTAGTGCAAGGTCCACTTTAAATACAACACTTCCAAAATACACTTGTAATAGAAACCAGGGTAATATCTGTCTCTTCTAGATTTGTCCCTTACAGCATTATTCTGACTACTACTAAGTTAAGGCATGCTGATGAATTCAAATGTACCTTACTGGTGTTTCAAAACTAATCCCTACCTATACATACAGATGTATTTTATCCAAACTCCTTTTTAAGGACTTTAACGTAAGAAGTTTTCTATAACTGCTAAGTAATCTGGTGCTTCCTTTGTCACAATTAGGCATATTCATGAAGACAGACAAAATACCAAATACATTGTGCACAGTGTGGCCAATTACATTTCTGATTACTGTATCCAGATGGGTTAAGACATTACTTTTGATTGGTTTGCATGGGTTAATTCACTCGCATACCATCAACGTTCTTTCCAATTGTCAAAAAAAGTCTGAAAGCGATTATTTCAAGCTTTTGGAATGTTTGATTTTAACCAATTCTTTATTTATTTGTTTTTAAAAGCAGTACATTTTGATTAATATAGTACGAGACAGTGTACAGCTTAATGAACACAGTAGCAGTACATAAAACCTGAAGTAACAAAAGATATAAACTATCCAAAATATAACAAATACAACTTTGTAAGAGACAGTCAAACACAAGACTGCAATGCTTTATAGCAAGAATTAGAAATTAGGGTAGGCACCAGTGTCCCAAATGCATTGGGATACAAAGCAGTATAAAGCTGATAGCAGTCAGTGATGGAGTGGGAAGGGTATATATGGGCATGGAAGACATTTTGGAAAATGGAGTTGGGCTACATAAAGGCTGGCATATATAGGTGATAACAGTAACAGAAGTAAGAAGAAGGCAAAAGGTCAATAGGGAAGGGGAATAGGGTTGATACCAGCAGCACCAGGGGTAGGGATACAGGGAGGACTGAGTAGGAAGAGGAGGAAAAAACTAAATATTAAAGGGGTAAAAGAGTTGGGTGAAAGAGGGTTAGAAAGGGGGAAGAAGAAGAGGGGGAAAGTGGACTTCAGAAATGTATTGACAGTCTGTAAAAAAACATGTTTCTGCACTTTGAGTATCATCCAGTCATGATGTTTTGCTTACTTTTATCAGAAGTAGGATTAAAATATTTAAATGTTGGGAGCATTTGGCAGGTAAAACAGCCCCCATATCTGCATTTCATATGTGTATTTTGCTTTTTTGCCTGGAGTTCAGCTTTAAATATTTCAAACCTGCAACGTGCTTTAACAGTGACGCTATCCTTTAAGACATACCAGTTGTGCCCGATACAGCTATGCAAGCTAGAAATTAATATATAATTTGTGTTGTTGCTATTGAATATTAAGAAGAAGTCAACAGTTTATTTATGTATCTTTTTCTTATTTACAGTGAACTTATTGGATTCACGTTCTGTTATGGGTGATCTTGGCTGGGTAGCATATCCAAAAAATGGGGTAAGATCTTACATTATAAGTAAAACAGTTTGCTAATAAAAATGTATAAAGTTTCAGGGTATAATACTTTTATCCCTTGAGAATTTACCTAATTATAGTGTGCTTACTTGTTTCCTATGTTTTCTGTTTAAGTAAGCTCTGCCTTTATCCAGATTTTTGACCCTCTATAATCCACCTCTTGTGATCTAAAGGTTTGCCACTCATCTCACAGTGGCAAACTGTTTTCCCCATTTTTGCTTCTTTAAGGAAATTTCTATTTATCAAGTCCCATATTGAACATTAAAACGTATCTAAACCATGTTTTAATAGAGTATGGAAGTGAAAGCAATAATTTACTGTATTGCATCTTACCAGTCCTTGGATGTGGTAGCTGCAGTTTTCTTTTTTTAAGCTAAGTATATTTACTGCAATTACATAAACTTAAAGTGATATCAAACCTTGTTTTTTTTATATAATAAAGAGGTCCACACTCAGCCGGTGTTTCTCTTCTTTAAACTGCTTCTCTTCCTTGTGCTCCTGCTTGTTTCCAAAAACCACTCTCTCCTGCCCCCTTTGCGGGTGTCTAATTCAGCTTGTCAGCTGCTGAGGGGACACCCATGCATGCTCGCTCCCGGCTGTGCCCGCACCTAGCTTTGTGCATCCATAGACACATACAGCGTGCTGCCAGCCATGCCCATCATCTCCTCTCCTCCCAACTGATTGACTAAGGGCAGAAGGAGCAAGTTGCTCCTCTGCCCTTAGTACCCTCCCCCAAAACCAGGAAGTTTGGGGACTAGCGAAGACTTCACAGACCCTTCAGTGACAAGCGAATGGAGGTAAGTGGTGGGGATAGGGCAACTTGGAAAGGTGCTGGGCATTTTTTACCTTAATGCAGAGAATTCAGCCTTTAGTACCACTTTAACTGTTTATATTATCAGCATTTGAGTAGTCTTGTTACTTCCTGTTCTCTCAAATGATATATAAAAAAAAAATCAGTTTTTGTCAACATGACAAAAAGGAGGGGGAATCTCCCTAATTTGGACACAATAAAACATGACAGTAGTTCCAAACTTACCTTACGCTATCCAACAAAGAAGCTATATTAATGTGGGGTCCATTTTTCCTGCCACAACTAAGTCCAAATGGTAACCTTTTTTTCTGTTTACAATTCCTCATTAGCATGTTGGGTGGACATTTTCAGGGAGGCACTTCAAATTAACAGCGGTTTATTTATTGTTTTTGATAATTATATGTCTCCGGTCTTTCACACGCATATAATAAAGTACATATGTTTAATAAATCCACTGTAATAAATCACTATAAACTTTAGTTCACCCACATGAGGTAATGGGGTTGATTTACTAAATAAATCGAGCATGTTAATATTTTAAAGTGCATGCTCACTTAGTAAACTAACATGGTTATTCACAAAAGGGTTAAAAGTTTGCAACATCGTGACACCCTGATGAAGGGACCCTGCATGGCCTTGAAACATTGGCTTCTTGACGCATGTGGCATATCAATAAAAGTGCTATCCTTTTTGCACATTACAAGTGAGTGCTGGTGACTACTATCTTTACTTGGATTGTTACATGGCACCATCCGTGTCGTCATTTCGAGTACCAACGGATATTTTGTTTGGTCGAAGCGCTGTATGCTGTGCAGGTGATTCTTTAACGCTGGTGAGGGGGAGGACACAGCTGGCTCTGGCTCTAGAGAGGCAGAGCCAGCTGTCAATCAGGCAGTGGGGTGTATCCCAACAATATTGTTAGGAACTTTTCCAGCTGCAGCATGGCTCTGCACTGTCAGCATATAGCAGGCAGTAGTAAATGTACTCCTGTGACCCAAAAGAGAACTAAAGCCCAAAAAAGGTTTGACTATAGTTCTCTTTTGACCCCGTCTTAGTTGTGTGGAAAAGGCACATATGCTTCAGTCACCAAAATGTTTATTCATTCGATGACATATATTTTTGTTTTACACATATCGATTTAATGCAAGGTGCATAGGACTGCATGACCACAAAACTCTGTCCTAATAGGGGCAAATTTCACGGGGAAGCACGGCAAGATTGGTTCATGGGAAGTATTACTAGAATTTCACCATTTACTTTACTCCTCTACAAAAATGATGCTTTATATCTTGCTTTCCATATAACATGTTTAGACCTCAGAGTAAAGGGCGTTTTTCATCCACAGTTTATGCACACGTATTCAGTAAGGCATAAGAGCAAAGCTGTTATTACCAAATATTGTCTCACACACATGGGTTCACAGAATACACGAAATACATATTTATTTGCTTTGCATGAAATTTGGCTGCAGTTTTATTGCAATCTCTGATGGGTTATGTGGTTTTACAGCTGCCAATGGTTTTGTTATGTGGTATAACTCCAATTTTTAATTAAGTCATCTGGAATAATGGAGCTATCAAGCAGCTTCCGCCTTTCCAAATCTCTTTGACACTACTGAGTGTGCATAACGTTACACCCATGTGTGTAAACTATTTTAATCATTTTGCAGCCAGCTCCCACCCTTATGACCCATTTACTTTGTTTATCATGCTGATTTTATTTCCTACTATTTACATTTTCGGAAAGTGCAAGTGCTTCCTTTAAGAAAATACACATCTGCTTACTGTAGGCAGTCAGATTCCTTTGAAGGATTCTGGGAGCTTTTTGCACAGTATGGGAGATAACCTTTTTTTCAGTCTACGGAGATTATGGAGTATGCGGAGGAGCTTGCTGCACAAGATGTTCTGTTTCTTTTTTTAATTCAAACAGCATTATAAACATTCCTTTCAACGCCATTGCAAATGTTTGTTTCTGCCAGAGCCATCCTAACTGGATGAATTAAACTACATGATTTAAAAAAGATATAGGGGGTATTTGAACTGGAAGATGAATATATGACCAAGCGATGACCCGTTTCATCTTTAAACTGTGTTATGCTGCTTGGAGCTGTTCTAATCCATCCATGGAAAAAATGAGATAAAAAATGTTAGATATATGACAAAATTTGCATGCCGTGCACAAGGTAGTAGTGGTGGGTTTATGACTACAGATTAGATGTAGACCTAGCATCAGTCATTTTCTAACCTGCTTTACATCTAGAGGTGATTGACTTGCTTATAGTCACAACAAAGGCCTGTTTACTTTTGCTTTGCAAGACTGAATCAATTAAAGTTCAGCTGATAATAGACTTTGCCAGATCAGCTCCATATATCAAGTGCTTCTGGATGGCTGGCAAATTTTCCCTGATGTCCCCTGATGTGGGAATAAAATTGTGCCAAGAACTACACATTGAGGAGGAAGTGTGCTTGTTTTCTATACCATTTCAGGCCTGGTAAAAAAACAACATGTTATGGCCCATTCACATATATGCAGTATAGCACATGTAAAAGTGAGATGTGTTACAGTGTCCTTCATTTTGAATGGCATCTGAATGCACTTAGCTAGCATACCACAATGCACATGAGAGTGCGTTAATGCAAAGCACAGTTAAAATGTGCCTTAACCACTCAGTGACACAGCTTCAGAAAATGTATTCGTTCCTGGGGACCGGAGCAATTTTGCCATTTTTGCAATGTGTTTGTTTAACCATAATTTCCATCTTCCTCATTCATTGCACCTACACATATTATATACCGCTTTTTTAAAGGACAAAATGGACTTTGATTTTATGTGACATATGCATTAAATAATTATTTTCTTTTATAAAAAATACAAAATACAAAAATGCAAAAAAAACCCCACATTTTTTCACAGGCAATAATGATGTGTACATAATTAGTGTAGCTAACAGAAAATAATTCATAGTAAATTATTTTTATTTGTCCTGATTTATTAGGTATATCATATGTCTTGGATTTCAGTTTATTGTGGGAGTTACAGGTCACAAAATACTAGGGGGGTCTATTCACGAAGCTGCCGAAGGATCTAGCCGTAGCTTCGACCGATCCTTCGGCTAGCTTCGGCCCCAGGACCCCTTCGGTTCAGTAG